AGTCGGAGGAGCTCCGCTCCTCATTGGTGAGGCAGCCTCCCCCCTTCTCCTCCTCCCGAGGTCTCTTTTATTTATACACGCACACACACACACGCGTGCACATCCCTCGGCCCAGGGTTTTGCTCCACACTCAGGTCCGAGGCGGATGGACCCCCTCCCAGCTGGGCTGGGGCTGCCCAGGGCACTGCTGAAATGCACTAGAGGAGCAGAGCAGGGGCTTGGCTGCAGCCCAGCCCTGGCACAGCCTCGCCTTTCCTTTTGATTTTATTTTCTTTTTTTTTTCCCCTCCTCCCCTCCACTTCATTTCTTTCTTTCCCTCTCTTTCGCCTTTAAGTGGAAAAGCCTTGCCAGCTGGGGAAGGCTGGGAGGGCAGGGAGAGCCTCAGCAGGCAGCAGATAGAGAGTGCAGAGGAGGAGACTAAGGAATTTCGGGGCAGCCAGTGCCCGTGGGACGTACGGCACAGGCACTCGACCCGTGGGACCCTGCCCAAGGTAAGCTCCCGTGTCGCCCACCCGGGTGCCATCTCGCCTTCCCGCTCACCTCCGGCCCTCCGGATGGGAAACCTCACGTTGGAGCTGGTAGAGTCCCCATGGGCCCTCTCCCTGACCCAGCACGGTTGCTCTGGAAGGGGCTTTGCTCTCCTGCAAGGGGCTGACACCCCAAAAGGCCCTGCCGAGCCCTGGGGAGGTGGTGTTTGGTAGAGAGTGGATGAGCTCTGCAGCATCCCACGGTAAAAGCCATCCCATCAGCTCTCACCATATCCTGGACTGGGATGGCTGAGGGCAGTCAAGGGGATGCTGCGGCTGTAGGGCAGGAAGGGGAGACTCCACTGCAGCGGGATTGGGGCCCAGGTGATCTCTGCTTCTCCCTGGGTCAGGGGGTTGTCCTGGCTCTCCCTGCTCAGTGACTGTGGGAGGGCTGGGGTGTGCATGGGGAAGAGGCTGCTCAGACTCTTCCAGCGAGGCATCCTTTGGAGGCATGAGTGTGCCCCACTGCAGAGCAGTGTCACTCTGTGTCAGCTCGTCAGAGCACACCCATGGTCATCTCTGAATTCAGGGTGCTCCGAGGACCACACCACCTTGGTCTGTTCCCATGGCAGGACTTGTGTGCCTGAGGGCCAGGCCAAGGTGGAGAGGGACATCTGCAAGCCCTGCCGAGAGTCTGTGCCCTGGTGTGCCAGGTACTGGAGGGGCAGAGTCTGGTAAAACCCTTCTAGGCATGGATGTCGGCAACAGCTCTGCTATCCTGAAAGCGCTGGAGCTGAGGGCCTCCAACAGGATGGAGCTGGTCTGGATTGAAGCTGTGCTGAACTATGCAGCTCTGACAGCCTGGGAACAGGGGTTTGCATGACCTGTAAGGCTTTGATGCTCACACTGGGATCACTGTGGGCTCAGAGCTTCTACCTCCTGAACTCACTTGCCAACTGGGAGTCATTCAAAGCAGAATTTGTGGTGGAAAGGGGTGCTGTGCTCCTCTATCCTTGCCTCAGAATGACTAGAGTTTACACTAAAGCATTGGGAAAATAGCTTGAAGTAGTTGGGCTGCTGTGCAAACCCTTGTGCAGAAGCTTTACATCCCCAAATCTTTTCAGAGGGTCTCCCGTCTGAAGGAGAACTAGCAATGTTGAGACCCAGTGTCCCCAGGGGCCATCAAGAAGTGGGTTGGATGGTCATTTCCCCCTCAGCACCCTGCTGGACAAGGTGCCTGTGCACTCCATGCTCTCAGAAAAGAGGCAAGTTTCATTTGGGCAGGTGGTGCCAGTGCCAAAGACACAGCTCTGCCTGGCAGAGTGCAAGTGCCAGGCTGGCTTGGATGGGGAGCCACCAGGCAGCCACCCCAGCTGGCAGCCAGCCCTGGGCAGGGTCTGACATGAGGCTTGAAGTCACTCTTTGACATGGATGTCACCCAGGCTCGGGTGTGTTATGGCTTTTAGAGCAGTCACCAACCCCGAGCAGTGTCCTTGAACCCAGGAAACACCCTTGAATCAGTCGATGCATCAAGAGAGGTCAGTGTTTTAAAGAAGCACAAAGTCACAGCAACCCACTTGCAGCATGCAAAGGACTTTTCTCTCTCCCTTAAGCCAGCTCAAGAGCATGAAGAGTCCTTGCTGAAGGACTCTCAGCTCGTCTCCCACATCCCTACACAGGACTGGGGGTTTGGGGTGCCCATGAATGGAGTGTGAACACAAGCACAGACAGCTGCAACACTGCAGTCGGGGAGAAGTTAGCCATGGCTTATTGTCCAAAGTCCTGGGCATATCCTGTGGGGTCCTGCAGGGCTCTGAACCATGGGCTGGAACCAAGCTGAGTGGGCAGCCAGTGTGCACTGGAGCACAGGGGCATTCCAAGAGCTCCCGGTGGAGTCTGGCACCAATCAGGAAGTCTATAGTGGACACAAACCAGATTGCAGCATTGTGGCAGGAATCCCACAGCTCTTCCCAAGGGATATGCAGAAAGGTGCATGGCTAGAGGCAGCTCAAACAGGCAGGGTGGAGGGGCAGGTCCTCCCCAGCAAGTGACGCTGAGCACTTCAGCAGGGATGGATGTGGAGTGGAAAAGCTCGGGGAGAGCAAGGAGGGTGATGAGAAGCTCAGAAGAGGCTGCAGAGGACTGGGAGATGGGTTGATGGGGCCTGTTGCTCACTGGGTGTTGTGGGGAGGTAACACATAGTCTTCATGCACAGGAAAGGTCACCACAGGGAGAAAAGAGATTTTAGGGGAAATGTCTGTAGGCTTAAAGACACGAGGCTGGCTCCCTTCAGCCTGACAGATCTCAAAGGACATGTCAGGCAAAGCTCTGGGTGGGAAGATGTGGGCACTGTAACAGGACAATGACCCCATGATGTCTTTCAGCCTCATTTTTGATGGGTCTGTGACAGGATTTCCAAGGCATTCAGAACAACACTGGTAGGGAGAGGAGAGCACTGAGGACTAGGGCAAGACAGGAATGTCTTAGTGAGCACCAGAGGAAAGCTGAGGTTAAGAAATGCTCCCTAGCTGCAGGAGTGACGCTGTGCAAGAAGAGACCACGATGGCTGGCTGTGGCATTGCCTGAATGACTGACTGCTGCCCGAGGGTCTGGGCAGGGACTTCTGTGCCTGGTCCCCAAGGTTCCTCTGGTCCCAGTGTTTGATGCCGTGCTGAATGGGATGGGATTGCAACGGTGTCCATAGGGACAGGCTCCAGCAAAGCATCTTCCTGGGTTGGAGTGGCAAAGGGCAAGGAGCAGAGGAGCTGTGTGGTGGCCAAACTCCGTGGGAGCACAGCCACTGGCGCTGGCAGCTGGGGCTGCCTTTGGCCCAGAGCTGGAAGGAGCTGGGGACCATGAGGGCTTAGGGTTGGCTGGATGTATCCTATCCCTGCGAGGGAGGATTGGAACTGAACACTTCTTGGAGTTTGTTTGTTTGTACTTTAACCAAAGGAAAGAAATCCCCTGGAGAGGAGCTTTAAGGGGAGGGTATAGACTGGGTATTGTTTCCTGAGGGGCTGGAGCAGCTCCAGGGAGCTCCTTCTGCTTCGCCACACAAATTGGACATAACGAGGCTTGTTTTAGGGGTGGTTGTTTCCCCTCCTCCTTTTCCCTGTTGCCTAATTAGGGTGCCCAAGCCAAGCACACCTCTGTCGTGTTTCTCTCCCACTGGGACACCTCCTCCTGGAAGGGCAGCATGTTCCTGGCACCACAGGGGACACAGAGCAGACCCAGCTGTGACAGGGACAGGGACACATGCTGGGGATGTACAGAGAGGTGCTGGGATGGGTCATGTGCTGAGCAAGGGGGTCCCATGGGTCCATCATCCCCTAGTCTGGCAACACAAGCCATACAGTGACGTGCTGCCCCTCACACCCTGCTTTTCCATCATCCCTGGGTGCACAACAGGCTGTGGCATGCCCATATCTGTGCTTGTACTCTTGCCTTGCAACCACTGACATGCAGAGCCAGAGGACAGTGGTGTGCAGAGCCTTTTCAGGGAGCAGGAGCTCACAAAACTCCCACAGAAAGGCTGGTGCCAGGACAGCCAGGGTGGTGTAGTGTGTGGTATCTGTCCTGCACCCATGAATGGATTCATCCTCTGCAGGCCATGCCTGCAGGGGCACATCCAGAGCTCCACTAACACCCATCCCTGGGCTCAGCAAGAGCCAGTGTGTGATGGGGCTGGCAGGAGGCTGTGCTGTGCCGGAGCTGGAGCAGGGAAGGGTTGGAGAGTGCAGGGATGTATCAGGGTGCTGTGCGGGCTGTCAAACGCTGGGCTGCAAACCAGGAAACAGATAGAGAAGGAGGCACCCTCTCCCTGCTATGGAATGGTCCCCATGGGCAGCACAGGGCTGCTCAGGGGGACAAGGCTCCTGAAGCAGCAGGAGGTGGGCCAGTCTTCCCCTCAGCCCCATCCTGCTGGTCCCTCTGCCTTCCCCCTTCCGGCCCACTACCATGCGAAAGAGTCTGTGACTGAAATCTTAATGCTACTGAGACACAGCAATTGGCACCAATTAAATTGCTACATTCATGTTTGAATTGCTTTAACTGGCGAGACACACTGTCTTATTTATACAAAAAAATATGTTTGCTTGTGGGTTTCTCTGAACCGCTGCCAGCAGAAAATGCACCATTTCGAGCCCTGCGCTCTGCAAGCTCATTCTCACTCCCAAACTGGAAGTCACCTCGGTTTCAGCCTTTGCCAAGCAATGGTGGCAGAATAGAAACACTGCTTTCCTTGGGGCCAAAGGCTGCCAGCACCATGAGAGGGGTCCCCTCCTCTCTCCCTGCAGGCAGCTGCCAAGTTTCCTTCTCCAGCCTGGGAGTTGTTTGAGAGAATATGGTCTGATTCAGGAGCAGGAGTTGGTGCCCATTTTAAAGCTGGGCTCAGGGGAGGGCAGGGGGTGCTGGCAGCTGCTGATGCCAAGTCCTGCCTCTGCTTCTCCTCTGGAGGTTCTGTAGGGCTTTGGGCATAGTAGGGGCTGATTGCAGAGCATGGGTGCAGATGGGAACTGATTTCTGCTCCGTGACTGAGAGGAGAGGTTATAAAGGACCCTGCAAGCAGGTTAGCAAGCACGGCTCATGCTGCCTGGCCAGAGAATGTAGGAAGAGGTGATCCATTTCTGCAGTCCTGGTGCCAAGTGCCACCATCCAGGTCTTCCTGCCCCACATGTAAGCCTATGGAGGAGGGGGCAGGATCAGCCCATAGCACCAAGAGCTGCACCAGAAGTTGCATTTTGTTCCCTCTTAGAAACCCAGAAGTAACAGGGCCAAATAAACAGCCCCCTCTCTGAAAGCGGCCTTTGCCCTTCATGCCCAGATCTAGCACCCCCCATCCTCTCCCACCCTGGCCACAGTGCCAGGCTCCTCTCTGGATCCAGCAGATAGGCAAAAAGTGCCCTGACCACAGAGCTGGCGAACGCCTAATCCCAGCCACGAGAGCCTAAAACCCCATAACCAAGCAATTAAGCTCGGGTCCCTCACAGGAAGCTGAGAAGAGCCAATGCATCCACGGAGATTATCTCCTCCTCCCCCTCCTCCACAGATCCAAGTCTCAGGGAAGTGTTCACAAGAGGATCAGGTTGCTTGTTCTTTGCTGGTATGTGGGGCTGGTAAGACCACAACACCCTCCCCGCTCCTGGGGCTTGGCAAAGCCCTTACATCCTACTAAGACTCGGGATGGCTCCTTTTCTCATCCTGCCTCCCATCCCAGCTGATTAGTTGTTAATTAGAGCCATCTGGGACCTTTGGCTCCAGCCCTGACCCCACCATAGCAGCCACCCTTGACCAGCAGCCATGAGCAAATGATGGAGATGCCAACTGCTGAAGACTGTTTTTCTCCCTGTTCGTACCTTAGGAGAGTGCTTCCCTTGAATCACTACAGGAAGGCAAACACAGCTTTCTGGCAGCCATGGAACAAGAGTGAGGAAGGCCCTGTGGGTGCCAGGACATGGGATTAGCAGCCAAGATGGTACCTGACCTTGGTCCCATATTCCCTGCTTCTCTCATTCTCCACTTGGGTGGGGAAAAGCAGCAGGTGAGCAGATGGGCTCTGCTCAGATAGGCAACTCCCATCCAATCCCACACACCCAGGAGTTGGGACCCCTGAATATGCCAGTCTGGGGGTGGAGGGATCAGAGAACTCTTTGAGTCACTGCTGCCAGCCAGCCCCCAGGCTTGGAGGGGCCAGCAGTGAAGCGATGCAGGAGCTGTGTGGGTTCTGGCCTGCAGTTTGGGTGCCCTGCAGTCACGTTCATAATTCACATTGCTCACAAGCTCATGAAGCAGCATGGTGTGTTCTCCCAAAAATGTCTTTGCTGTCAGGGGCAATGGCAAAGTTAGGGGATGGTCATAGACAGCCCTATCTGGGCTCTGTTGAACATCCTGCTGGAGAAGAGCATTGGGAAGGGCTTAAATGCTCCCAAGGGGCACATTTGTGCCTCCTCCAGTGGGTCATCACACTGCAAGGGGTGAGCCCTGAGGCTGCACAAAGCCCTGCTCCCCACACCCGGCATGAGCACCCCCAGCTGTGCGCAATGACAGACTTAGGGCTGTGCTCCAAAATGCTGGCCAGACCCCAGCACCACCACAGACCACTCCCAGTACCACCATGAGCCAGTCCCAGCACCACCATGGCCCTGGCACCCACTGCCTGCCCTAGGGAGAGCAAGGCAGGCAGGATTTGACCAGGGCGAGAAGCGGAGTGTGCAGCAAGGGACAGGCAGGCATTGCCTGGCACGTGGCAGCCGTTCCTCCCAACACCCCCATCCCTCCTTCCCCAGTCCCAGGTGAGCCCTGGTCCTCACCCAGGGTTTTCCCACAGTCCGGGCCAAGCTTGCAGGCTCCAGGGAGCAGCCCCTGGGGTCTGGCCTTTCCTCTGGCAGCGGAAGCGGGGGAGCATGCGCAGCCGAAAGGGCCACGAATACCATCACTCGGGGCTGGGGGATTATTTATAACACTGGCACCTCTCCAAACAGATGTTTCTTTTTATTCTGAACTTGCACTAAATGGGTCACTCGTTTCCTCTGTCTCCCATGGGCTTAAAGTAGAGGGGGAAAGCAGAGGGGATTGGGTTGAGAGTGCAGGGCTTGCCCTGGTCCCACGTCCCCCTGTGCCGGCTCCTCACAGCGACGACGTGTTGCGGAGAGCCCACGGCTGGAGATTTGCTGAATGGTGTATGTGGACATTTTGGTCCCCCCTCATTTGGAGAGGGAGGATGGCCATGGTCAAACAGGGCTGCGTGGGGCTCGCCACCCCACCCCATTCCTCACATGGTTGATCCCTGGGCTGCTGAGTCACCCTGCTGAGGCTCAGGGTGGACTTGTCATCCTCCCCAGCAGCCTCCCCCTGTGCTTTGGGGTCATGGACCTCATTTTCAGCTTTCTGTCAGATGCTGTCAAAGCCTGTGATAGCCCGTAGCAGGCTGGCCTGGAGGAAGCTGCTGTGCCAGCTCAGGCCCTGCCATCAGCTGCAGGACCCTCACAACCACACAACCACCTCCTCCAGGTGGTACCGAGGCTGGGGACCAGTACCTGGAGTCCTGGGCAGGGCCTTTGGTTGTGCCAGCCCCACTCCCTGCTGCAGAGGCAGGCAGAAGAGCCATCCCCAACCGTGGTCACAGTGTCCCTGGGCTTGTATTGCCCCAGAGGTGGCTTCTGCCCCTGCTTTGCCCGTCTTCTAGAGAGCTTGGTTCATACCAGGGCTGTGGCTTCAGTCACATCTTCAGAGTCTCACAAAACCACTCAGAGTGTTCTGGCACTAGTGACCCTGCCTGTGAGTGCCTGCAGAACCTCAGCTTTCCCTGACTGAAACAGACCCACAGATCCAGCACGCTGCAAACAGGCACCCAGGGCTCTCAGCATCCCTTGGTTCCCCCAGTGTTTGGGTAAAGCCTCAGGTCTCTCTTGGCACTGGCACGTGACCAGGTGAGGAGGAGTTTGCCCCCAGGTCAGGGATGGTATGTGGGACACAGGGACTCCCCAGCCCAGCTGCTCCTCAGTCTGGTTTCAGATTTCCTACCTCTGCGTTTTATCAGCAGCCCTTTATGGGCCTTGGGATGAAAGGCTCCCCATGTGTGTGCCCTGCCTAATTCTAGGCATTTGCTGGGAAAAAGAAAAAGGGCTTTGTGATGATAATCTGGCCTGTGAGTAAACATGGTGTCATGGGAGCCAAGGGACCCCAGAGGAGAGATGTTGCAACTCCAGACAACTCCAGCCAAGGGGAAAAAAAAAAACAACCACTCGGTTTTATTTAGATTAAAGGGTGGGAAAGAAGCAGTTGCAGAGGCTGGAGGGAGGGTGGCAGAGGAAAACAGGACAAGCCAAGGAGTTTCACTGCTGGACAAGCAAGGCTTGGGTTTCAGGGGTCACCAGCCTTTGCTTGGGGAGGTTTTTGCCTTCAAAAGCAGGGGGTGATGTCCCCTTCCCCCTGCCAGGAGAAGCCTTTGCTCCCTGGCTGCGAGGGGCATTGATCATGGGATCCATAGGGGGAATTTTTCATTACATACGGGCACCCATGATCTCACTTAATGACTCAGATGCACTTAGACGAAGAAGAAATAAAGTGTATTTGACTTCCCGCTAATTTGCACCAGATGTCCCTTGCCCGTTTGGCAGGATGGTGGGACCACTGAGCATTGTGGGAGTGCCTGGAAGCACAGCCCTGCAAGAAAAGGGGCTACAAATAGAAATCCAGAGGAAGAGAAAGGATTGGTGGCTGTGTGAGAGGCCTGACTTTGCCTCTCCACTGCTTCGTGGTCATGCTGCTGCCAGATGAGATGCCCTCATGGGCAGGGCCGGCATCCAGCACCTCTGCCCAGTGTCACAGGAGTGGGGAGGAGAGCAAGGAGAGCATAGATAGGAAGAAGAGCAATGTGGGACAATATGTGCGGGAATTGCCCCTGGAAATGCAAATAGGATTTTCTGACAGGGGGCTGTGCACCCTGATTTCCAGCTGACAGCACACGCCCTTACTGGTGATCGATGGTCTGTAGGGACCAGAGCTCCTTGCAAGGTGGCTGTCACAGCAGCTGTGGCTGCTTTCCTGTTCCCCAGCATGCTGAGCTATCTCTTCCTTGTCCACCAGCTCTGCAGGCTGGTTCCCAGCTCACAGCTCTAGAGGTGCTTGTGGGACCTTCCCAGTGGTTCTGCACAGGACACTGGTTGTGGAGAGGCAAGAAACCTGGTCTAGGCATGCTGGGGAGGATGGCAGAGGTCTGGGAGGGCATCCTTGGTGTGGATGTTCCTCTGTGTAGATCTCCCGTGGTTTAAGGCATTTGCAGGGCTGGAAATGACCCTGTCCCACACGATCCATGCTTGGGGACAGGCAGTGCCATGTGATGCCCATGACAGCAATGGCTGCCATGTGTGCTGAAATGATCTGCCAGGAGCCCTGTGCTGTACACATGCTGGGAGCAAGCACAGAGGGAAGAGAGCTTGGAGGTGTGGCACGGCATGCAAAGCAAAGTCAGAGGAAATTCTTGCCTTGTTACCCAAGAATAGTCAAGACTGAGCCCACATAACATATTTTGGGCATTAGCAAAGGCATCTTTGGCTTACTAGAATCCTTAAAGAGAGAGGTTTGGCATGGGGGAACATTAATAAATCAATAAGGTTTGGTGATGCAAGGCACTGTGAGGTGCAAGGAGTAGCAGAGGTGACTGAGGGAGAGGTCCTCCTCAGACAAAGGTGGTACCATCCCCAGCAGAGGCTGGATACTGCTCTTCCTTGTATCAAAAGCCCTGGGCGTAGCCCTGCTCCTGCTGCAGAAATTCCTGTCCAAGTTCATCAGCCACAGAGGCATCAGCCTCCATCCACACGAGCGAGGGAGTGGGAGAGGAGGCGGAGGAGAAAGCTCAGCTGTCATCAGATTTGGGATGCAGGAGAAATGGGAGCGGGCTGCTCTGGAGAAGCTGTGAAGTCATGAGATGGGGAATCATGAGACTTGAATCCCGGTCCTGGCGCAGCCGTGGCCCTGGCCGTGCTGTTTGACCTCTGCTCTGGCCCTCTTGCCTGTGTCCTGTCTGTGGGATCCCAGGCTATCAGAGCCCAGGGTGCTTTCTGCTGCTGCTGCTCAGGGATGTCAGGGTGACCCCATTTATTCCATTGCCCTATGAAACCCACTGCTGGAGTACGAGGCTAGAGATGCTCGAACACGCTTCCAACAGTGTCTGGCCCCAGCCAGCCATGGGACACTTTCCTTCGCCAGCGCAGCGGTGGGCTGGGAAAGCCGGCGGCCCCGGGGTTGTCTCTGATCTCTTCCTCTCGGCTGCAAACTCCACTCTCGGTTCTGGATGTCCGGGGGAGGAGCGGCCGCTGGGTGCATTCCTGTGACCACACGTGCGGCCAGGCTGGTGTGATTACAGAGGGGAGATAAGGACAGTGTCTGTGTCACCGAGCAGGGACAATTGCCTGTATCTGTGTCTCCAAACCCTCCCGGCGGTGCCCAGCTCTGGCCTCACTGGGCAGCAGTGTGGGTGCAAGCAGGGACACGCTGTGCTGGTTGTGGGGGAGCTGGCGCTCCCCACAGCCCCCGGCCGAGCCCCAGCCTGGCCCCTGGGACCTGAGTCCCCAGGGGAGCACAGCCACCCCACAGGCATGTGGGGCTGGACGTGGTGTGGGGCTGTGTCACCCAGCCAGCCCGGCTGCCCTGCGAGCCAGCCGACCTCCTGTCTCCTCTCCCAGCCAAATTCCTCCTTTAGAATAATAAACAGTGCAGCTCAAGAGAAAAGCTCCCTCCTCTGCCTGACCAGGACCGGCTTAACCTCAAATCACAGAGACAGAGAGGGGCGGAGAGAAGGTCTGTACCTGTGCTGGCAAGGGACGGGAGGATGGTGAGGGGTATAAGGTGGGGATGGAGAGGTGGGACATCACCTCGGCGGCAGCAAGGGGGGAGGCTGCTGCAGAGCTGCAGGGCGGAGTGAAGGGTACTGGATACGGCATTGCTGTGGGAGCTCCCTGGCCTCCAGGACTGTGCCAGGATGGGTGGAGGCAAATGGTCCCAGGGCTTGAAAATACTCAGGTCCTGGCCTGTGGGAAGCATGTAGGAGTCTGAGAGGTCCGTGGCACCCTGCTAACCTACTGGGGTGGGAGGAGACCATTCAAGGCAGCTGAGCATTGTGTAGGTACTTGTGTTTGGGTCCCTGGGTGGGATAATGTCTGCTTTTGGATCACTGAGTGGGGTTGCCCCTCCTTGTCTGGCACTCATAGTAGCACTTACAGTTCCTGCTGAGAACAAAAGCTGGGACTGAGGAGAGAAACAAGTGCTCTCCAGGCTGGCAGTGAGCTTGGGTGCATTTGCATCCCTTGTGAAATGCCTGCGTGCACTCACAAGTGCAAGCACGTGTCCCCGTGACAGGGTGAGAAAGGCTTCTCCCTTCTGCAAGGCAGTCTCCCCGTGCGTCCTGCAGGGCTGGCAGAGCTCAGAGTCTCCGAGTCTGCCTCTAGCCCTGGCCGGAGCAGAAAAACAAGGGAGAGGTCACCACTCTCTGCGAGACGTTGCCACCCTCCCACTCTGCTTGGGAAGCATCTCCAAGAGAAATGCCTTTCTGCAAAAGCTGCAGCTTTATTAAAACCAGCTATGAACACAGCGGAGGCGGCCAGAGGCGGCAGGCGGAGGCTGTGGGGCTCTCACTGCTCGCTGAAGCAACACCCCTGCCAGTCCAGGACCAGCACACACCCGTGCCCGGCTCGCCAGCGCCGGCAGGGCAGGGTTTTACCCATCAGTGATCCTGCAGAGATCACTGGTGGAGTGAGGGACCTGTCTTTGTGGGAAGAGGAAGACAAGATCTCACCTGCAACAGGAGTAAGTGGCAGCCATGAAGCTGGACAGGCAGCTAAAC